CCCCTGCCCCAGTAAAAAGATTAAAGAAGTCCCCATCCAAGATCATCTGAAACACTCATTTTGTGGTGCAGAGGGAAACAAACACTCCTTCCACAATTTTCCCCAGAAGACAACACTTGCTACTTTCCAGTCTTAAAATGATAAAAGTAATGTTTGCCTTAAAAGGATGAGTTTGAGGGTACTAAAAATACACCACATAGGCCACCAAACAGTATCTTATTTATGTTAGTCTTACTGTTAGCTTTCATGAAAAGCCATAGTTTATGTGTCAGTTTTCCAAACTGACACATTTTAAGACTATAAACTACTCCTACATTAAAAAATGTTATGTGTACTTTGGGGAGAAATAAATGTGTATAACCTGATGCAATGGAAAACATAGCTTTCATCAATTATGATGCTGACTGCATTTTGTCTTCTTCAGCCACTGGGATTCAGGATGCCTAAGTAAAGCACTGTGTTTGATGAGTCACATTTGTAGCACAATCGCTACACTCAACCCCACCTAATATACTGTAACACATTTTCCCCTCTGATCTGGCCATAATCATTTCACAAGAAAAAAAAAGAACTGATTAAAAGGAAACAGGACAGACAGTGAGTAAGCCATGAACAACTGCCCAAAGAACTGTAAAAACCCTGGCAGATCATTTCCATGTGTTTCAATTAAAGTTGCCATGAGAGGTGGACAACAAGCAAGAAAGAATTGATAAAGTTGTATCCATTCCCTCCTTTTTGTAAGTATAGTTAGAGCCAAAGAATAAAAAGTACAATTACTGGAGATCTTGCAAAGCATTCATACAGAAAAACATTTGGAATGTATCCAATGCAAACAGTCTGATTTATAATTCTACAAGCCAATCAGAGAATATTTAAAAAGCACTTTATATGCATTTTTAATACACAGAAAAAAAAGGCTAAGGGTATATAAATAGTTTAAATAGACAGATTACATGTTTTCTTTTTTTCTGTGTTAAATATATATTTGTTCTAGACAATTTAGAAATGGCTTGTAATAAGGAAAAAACAAATTTTATATATATGTATATATATATATATAATAAATGACTAGGCAGTTAAAATGTATAGATTAATGTGTGATAAATAACATTTACAGTTTTAGGAAAATTTTCTAATTATACTGAATTTTCCTACAGAATGATTTCCTCCATTAAGAAGTGTTTATAGGTTGAATTGTGTCCCACAAAAATTCCTATGTTGAAATCCTAATTCCCAATACCTCAGAATGTGACCTTATTTGGAAATAGGGTCACTGCAGATGTAATTAGTAAGATGAGATCACTGGGGTGAGCCCTAATCCAGTATGACCTTACAAAAAAAGAAAATTTGGATAGAGAGACACACATACAAGGAGGATGCCTATAAAGGCAAAGGCAATGATAGGGATGACACTTCTACAAGCCAAGGAACACCAAAAATGGTAAGCAAACCACCAAAAGCTTGGAGAGAGGAATGGAACAGATTCTCCCTCAGTCTGCAGAAGGAACCAACCGTGTTGACATCTTGCTCTTGGACTCCTACCTCCAGAACTGTGAGACAGTCAATTTCTGTTGCCACCCAGTTTGTGATACTCTGTTACAGTGGCCCTAACAAACTAACACAAAAGGTTTTCAAGCATACCACAGGAAGACATTACACTCCGACCATACCCATTTTTCATAACTATCTGCCTTTTGGTAGACAGTGCTTGCAAAAATCAATCCTCCTTCCATACGCTCCTCCACCCCCATCCCCATGAGTACAGTTAAGTAAGGCTACATAACTAAGTTTTCTCCAATCGAATATGAGAAGTGACATATGCCTCCAGGCCTAGGCCTTAAGACTGGGGCATACTTCCTCCATACTCTTGCTCTTTCTTACCAGCTCACATTTGGACATGGTGCTCACCCAAATCAACCACAAAGATGAGGTCCATTCCTTAAGGAGTAGCAGAGCTACTTCTTAGAAGGAATCTGGGTCTTTAACTGACAGCATAGGATAGAGCCACCCACCAATGGGGAATATTCTCCTTACAATGTTACAAGAAAGTAAAAGAAATAACTGTTCTTTAAGCCACTAAATCATTGGATTTCTCTGTTACAACAGGTTAGCCTTTTGCTCTAACAGAGTACCAGAGGAAATAAAACATCTCAAACACATGCAATAGAAACAGTATGTAGAAACCAGGTAAATCTCTGAAACAATAAATGTGACTCTCTAGGAGAAGTTCAAGTGTAAACTAAACAACTACTATTACAGCTCCAAGTCTGAAACAATGTACTTGATGACCTTAGTAGTTGTTAAATTACAATTTAAACCCTTTGTGCGAATCTGCCAAATCTAATTCTTAAAGATTTTTTTCTTAAAGATTTTTTAATTTATCTTTTAATTTGAAAAATTTTTGTGAGAATAATTAAATTTAGTATAAGCATACTGTCATGATTTAACATACATTTTAATGGTACAAAAAACTAACATATAAAAGTCTCACACTCCTCCTCCAATCTCCTCTCTAGGGAAAGCCAGTATTACATGTTAGAAAATACTAAGGCTGATCAAAATTTAAAGTCAACGCAGAGGTTTTAATTTTGGTTTGTGACACACACCTACAGTCAAAACCAAAACATATTCTAATAATAACCATATAGAGCCTTCATATTTGCCTAACTCTGAGAAAAGAAAACTATTTTCTCATAGATGCTAATGACCAGCAATGTGGCCTATTTCTTGTTCTTAAATGCTTCCCAAAATGTCACTATGTGAAACTGGAATATGTGTGAAACTAGAAGAAAGTTCCTGGAGAATAATTCAATACTTCTCCATTACTTCATTCTACTACAGATGAACCATAATGTCTACTCCCGTCTGGTCAAAACACTGAAAATTACTCTACTAGAATTTGAAATGTTTGCCTTTTATTAAGTCACAGGTTTCTTTCCAGGGTGACTATCCAAATCCTGTATGGACACTTATCAGGAAGACACTCTACTGAACTAAAGAAGAAAATAAAGAGATGAAAACTATCCCCATTTAGTTATTCAGGGACTTCATTAACCTGTGACCAAGAATGGAATCTTATGATTCCAACTCATGGTTTGTTGGACGCACACATGTTACTGGATTCAAACATGTGTTTCTATTTAAACTGCTGGAATGTATATACGGCTCCACAAAGGGTGATAAATATTAGCAAATCTTCTAAGAATGAAGGTCCTTTATGACCACATACACCATGTTTTGATTCAGTTTTTCAAATGTCTCAGTCACACAAAGCTGAACAATCTGCTTTTTACATCTATCCACAAGTTAAAGAACAAAAATAAAATCCTTCCACAGATCACATCTATCTGTACCTTCACAGCCAACCAAAGGCAGATCTGTGATTTCTGCTGTCTTCTCTCTTCTTCCCTCATGGCAAGCCTGCCTTAGGTAGAGGCAGGGGACTCTTAAATGCCCAGGTAATGATAAGTTGGGTATTAACCATCATCAGATAATGCCAAGTAAGGGGCTTCAGGTATAGTACAGAAACTTCAACAGATGAGCCTAAAGAGGGGTGGAAAACTGTGGTCTGACACATTCTATTTGGCCAGCATAGCATTTTTAAATTTTTAAAATGTAAGTCCCTTTAGGAAAGCCCCCCAACTCAAATAAGATACTTCACAAGATATTATATCTCACCATGAACTAGGAACCCCACAGACATCATGTGTGCAAGCCAAATGTCTAAAGTGTGAATGTCACAGGAATTCTTCCAACCCTGTTTAGCCTTCTTACATTTTGTTTCTTTGCCCAGAATGCCCTCCCAGCCCACCCAAGCCTACCTCTTCAGTTGACTTAGGAGTACTTAAGAAGTCCTTTCTTATCTCCTAAAGCCCCAGTCAAGTGCTTAACCCTCTCTGGCCCCAGACTCTCCTGCTATTTCTACGACTTTTCTGTCAGGCACCAGACTAATTCCTTTAGGGAAAGGACTATGCCTTGCTCATTTTAGTCTCTCCAGTGTGTGGAATACAGCAGGTGGTAAATAAGTACTTTCAGAATGAAGAAATGGCAATACAAGTATCAGCTTAAAATATTTGCTTCCATATTCTTGGCAGAGAATGCAGAATATGATGAAGCTGACAAAAAAGAAAAAATGTAGATCACACAGAGCAAAAAATAAAGAGGCTGTAAAGGCCACATCTGCTTACACACAGGTGATTTCCAAAGGCTGATGACCCTCTACAGCATTATTTAACCTCATCTATAGTTGCTGCCTTATTTCACTCCAGGACCCCTGTATATTTGTTGTTACACACATGCTTTCTGGATCCCAACAACAAAGACACAAATATAATAAATCCAAATAAATGAAAGAAGAACATTAAGTCAATTTCTTTGAAAGGACAGGCATCTTCCCTTATACAAAACACTTATTTTAAAATAGAGCTGACTAGAAATAAACAATTGCTAATCATAGCTTCTCATATTCATTTTTCAATCAGGCCCACTCCTATTTCCCTTTGCTACATATAACTAGCCAGACTGGCTTCAATGAAGCTCAGAACTCTCAGAGAACAGTCAGGGACGCACTGGACATGGTCACCAATAGTGAGCAAGCAGGTCTAAAGGTGCATCTTTCATTGATTATATTACCCCACCCATGGTCATGCTTACCGGAAATGAGGAAAGCTGTGAAGGATTCCTCTCCAGGTCAGGTAAAGAAGGGTCAGGGAAAGAAGCAACAGGGGGTAGCAGTGAAAGAAGATAATCAGGACAGCATACCTGGCAGCCTTCATGGACTCTTTGCCTCCAAGCAAAAACGTCATTAGAGTTGCTCAGGAGGAGCAAGAAGTTAGAATGGTTACTTCCCAAACAGCATCTCATCCTTTCTTTACCCTGAGCATTTCCAGCTGTCTCATCAAAACCTTCATATGGAAGGAGAGCTTTCAGGGGCCTGTGACCACTGAGACACAGTGACTTCTCCTTAATTATCACTAAGGCAGGAGTACAAAGCAACTTACCTTCTGAAAAAAGTCTTCCCCACTTTTGCCTTTTCCTTCAGCAGCAGCTGTAAATAAAAATGTATACATTTAAAATAGTTTCTTTTTTTCAACCTATGTATTCAAAAATCTCTCAAATATCAAGTATGAGAATAAAAAAGTAATACGCAAGATGCCATTCTTGCTCTCCCAAAGCTCAGCACCTGCCTGAACAGGTCTCATCTAATGCAAAGTCACAAAAAAAAAAAAAAAAAACCACTAATTCAATCAAATATACATCTTTAGATAATTTCACACTCTTTTTTTGTCTGAAAGACTCAGGTCTCTCTTTTCACACACAGATGAAAGTAATCTCATCCTTTCATAATTAAGGAACGACATGAACAAATGCAACTACCAATATAATCTACTATAGTGCTCTAAGCACTTCCTATCTGCAACCAATCCCAGGCATGAGGTTGCCTTTTCACCCTCCAGTTGAACCTTACAAGGTCTACACTCTTAGCTGTTTGTTCTATGCTTTGCACTGACTATATAATCTACTTGGGTTTCAGCTGCCATCATACTACTTTAATTCACTCCTTAATTCACATTTATAAGAGAGAGACAAAACAACATGAGGATGAAACAGTAATAATGAAGGTCACAGACAACAATAAAATTTCATGTGAGATTAATTAAAAAGTCATTACATTTGAACAATCGTTTTTATACCTAAATGGCAACCTATAAATATAGGAGAAATCCAGGTCTCTACATTCAAAAGTCTTACAACTCTGTGAACCTTCTTTTTAATATGTGGAGAGAAGTAAGCAATTTGAATAAAAGGAGAGAGGGGACAAAGAGCCAATAGCATCTTGCTTGCAAAAGCCTCAAACTGCATCTTTCAGAAGGCAAACACCAGGGGTGCCTGGGTGGCTTAGTCAGTTAAGCACCTGACTCTTGATTTTGGCTCAAGTCATGATATTAGAGTCCTGAGATTGAGCCCCTTGTTGGGCTCTGTGCTGGGTGTAGAGCTTGGTTAAGATCCTCTCTCTCCCTCCTCCTCTCCCCTCCTCCTCCCTGACACCCACCCCCAACTCATGCTCTCTCTCTCTCTCTCTTAAAAAAAAAAAAAAAAATAGGAAAGCAAACACCAAACAGGTTTCAAATTCGGGTGCAGGGTGGACAAGTGGTTAACTGGAGAAGCCACCCCCTGGTCAAGACAAGGAGACAAGGAAATGAGCTGGAGCAAGAACTCCTGGACAATGAAATCTGGAAGACCATGGTACCCCAAACACCGAATGGTCAATACTGTCAAGGGACACTGTGTGTACATGCATATACATGTGTGTATGTGTGTCCAGGACACTTATTAAAATTATTAAAGACTCTTGTATGTCAACTATATCTCAATTTAAAAAAATTATTAATGACCCAAGAAATGTGGCAGGTCATTCTGTTAAGTAGAAGACTCAAAACTCAAAGAAATTCCCTCAAAGAAATATCAAGTATTAAAATTTAGACACCTTCTATAATCTTGTAAAGATGTGTATTTTTATCAACATGTTTTCATCCAAAAAACAGAACACAGAGTACATGTTTCTGTGATTTCCAAAGACAGTTTGAGGAAATGTATGAATACAAGAGCTAGGGGCGCCTGGGTGGCTCAGTCGGTTAAGTGTCTGCCTTCAGCTCAGGTCATGATTTCAGGGTCCTGGGATGGAGCCCCGAGTCGGGCTCCCTGCTCCATGGGGAACTTGCTTCTCCCTCTCCCCCTATTTGTGCTCTCTCTTGCTCTCTCTCTCTCAAATAAAATCTTAGAGGAAAAAAAAGGAAAACAAGAGCTAAAAAGAAACAAAAAATTTAAAACTCTATTCTAATGGCAGGCTAAACAACAGCCCCTCAAAGATGTTCATGTCCTAATTCCTGGAACCTATGAATAGGTTACTTTATGTGGCAAAAGGGATTTTGCATGTGTGATTAAATTAAGGCTCTTGAGATAGGGAGACAATCCTGAATTACCCAGGTGGGCCCAATGTCATCACAAGGTCCTTGTAAGAGGGAAGCAGGAAGGTCAGAATCCAAGAAGGTGTTGTGACAATAGAAGCAGAGGGAGAGCAGGACTTACAACAAAGAAAGGAGAGGTCAGGGGAGAGAGATATCAGAGATGCTACACTGCTGGTTTTGAAGATGGACAAAGGGAGCCAACAAGCTAAGGAACATAGGTGGCCTCTAGAAGCTGGGAAAGGCAAGGAAATGTATTTTCCCCTGGAGCCTCTGGAGGGAGCATGGCCCTGCCAACACCCTGATATATGCCAATAAAACCCATTTCAGACTTTTGAATGCTGGAACTATATGAATAAATTTATGTTGTAAACTATTATGCTTGTAATTTGTTACAGCAGCAAAAAACAAAACAAAAAACATGCAAAAAAAAAACCCTAATACATAACACCAATACCATTTTAACTTTACTTTCTGTACAAATACCATACCTCCAACAGCATGAACTGAGGAGAGAAACTGAGCAAAGACGTGAGCATTTGAATCACACATTTCCACAAATAGGTTCCTAGAAGTTAACTCTACAAATTATGATTTCCACTCTCTAATTTGGAAATATGTCAATATTAAAACTTTAAAAAAAAGGAAGGGCTCCTGGGTGGCTCAGTCAGTTAAACATCGGGCTCTTCATCTCAGCTCAGGTCTTGATCTTGGGGTCGTGAGTTCAGGCCCCGCACTGGGTTTCACACTGGGCATGGAGACTACTTAAAAAATAAAAATAAATAAAAAAAAAAAAAAAACATAAAAAGCAAATTTGACCAAAAAAAACAAAGCTTATACTTTCTAAATAAACTGGAAAATGTGGGTGATCCTAGCTAGAGGGGCTACCTAGGCAAGACAAAAGGTTTAGTGCCTAAACCTAATGACACAAAACTAGTAAGTGCCTTAGGGGCACTTCAACTCAGCCACCTCCTGGGCTTTCTACTTATCTCTAAAGCAAAAAAATAGTTTGAAGGGGCCCTACTCAATGACAAAACCGCTTAGCGATCAAAATTGCATAGTGTGGCACAACGATCCGAAAAAATTCTAGTGACATTGAGGAAACTCTTCTTTGAAAAGAAACTTTAGAATCAAAGATATTTTCAAAGGCCAAGCAAGACAGGCCTATCAAGACGCCTTTCATCCACAGGGAACTCCTTCACAACTTAGAATTCATCATTTTAAATTTCATAATACAATTACATTTTATTACAGACATTTCCTTTAGGACACTTATTTTGCTCATCATAAACTCATTATGTCACAACCTTGAAATGCCCCTTCATTCCAAGTCCAACTAAACAGACTTCACAGAATGGCCTTTCAATCCCTGGATGAATAAAAAAAGGGGGAGAGGATTTTCCTTAAACTCAAATTATAATTAACTGTGTTCCAGAAAAACATCTAAAATTTAAAAAAAAGGGGCGCCTGGGTGGCTCAGTCATTAAGCGTCTGCCTTCGACTCAGGTCATGATCCCAGGGTCCTGGGATTGAGCCCCGCATCGGGCTCCCTGCTCCACGGGAAGCCCACTTCTCCCTCTCCCACTCCCCCTGCTTGTGTTCCCTCTCTCACTGTGTCTCTCTCTGTCAAATAAATAAATAAAATCTTTAAAATAAATAAATAAATAAAATAAAATTTAAAAGAAACCTTTAGTAACCTTAGGAGGTCAAGGGAAAGAGGAAGCAGGGATACTCACTGGCACCAAAAATACACCAAAATTCTTTGGCCTTTTTCTTTCCAAGTATTTACATATAAGAAACTCCAAATCTGAGCCTGATTTCCCTCTAAATCCTGAGTAGTGTCCATTCCTTAAGCCCACCAAGTACCCTAGTAAGAGACTCTGACCAGATACTTAGGGAGATCACTGTCTCAGGTACAAACCATGGTTAGTCCATGTCATGGGCACTTTATAGTAACTATTCCTTATCTCATTCCCAGGTTGCTGGGTCTCCTGCCAGACTTTTACTGACCCTATCTATGCAAGCAAAGCTGTCAAGGCCATAGAGGCCAATTAAGGGAGAACAACATAACACCAAAAGTATTCTCTCAGCCACCTCAACAGGGGATCCTCTCTGCTCAAATCTGAGAGCTCAATTCTCAAATAGTCCAAATTCCTCAGTATTAAAATATAAACTCCTCTGAAGAAGTGAGAGATTGTGGGGAGGAGGTTTGCAGAATATTTACTTCTCAATATAAACTCAGGTATTTAATAAGTTCATTTTACAGATGCAGGAAAGAACAGAAATTTCACTCTTTCATTCCATGAATATCTACGTCCTGCGCTGGTCAATCAAAATTGTCAAGGCCCTGACCTCATTCAACTTACAATCTCGGCCCATATATTCACAGCCACCCACTAGTAAGATAGAGCCAAAATCAAAATTTAATTTCAGGGACAACTTCCCAAAGATCTTTTCATGGTCACAACTCCATCCAAACTAAACTTAATAGAAACTTAACTTGGCTATTTCTCCTTCAGGACAATGTACTAAAAAGTTACTCATTTTACTCTTAATCCAACATTACAGTTGGGCAGCTCGAACTCTGCCAGGCCTGAAGAATAAAGGGTACTTTCAGGAAGATCATTGAAGAGTTGGATTTAAAAAAAGCAAAAAACATGAGATATGATAATATCTAGACCCAATGGCTGTCTTTTCACTATGGTTGGCAGGGCAAATGTTGCCTGTGAAATGAGCCAAGCCATCCTGATGTCGAGGCATTCCTTGACCTTTGAAGTCTGACTATATTCTGTGGTGTAACAGTTCTTTGGAGTCTTCACATTCTTAAACACCAATACACCCTCATCTTTTTCATTCCACAGTACCATGAACACAAACAAAATGATTTAGCAGGCTTTTTCTGTCTCTATAACATGTCTTCTGCCTGATGTTCCAAAATTTAGTCATTTGATTGTAAAAACCCTGGATTATTCTTGCCAATGAAAGCCACTGTCTTTATTTTCATGACATAGAACTGCAGGAATAAATTACTTCAGTACTACTGAAACATGGCTTCACAGATTGTACAGGTAAAGCATTTCAT